CGCACGCAGCTTGAACTCACTGGGTGTTGATGTGTGTTGTGTGTCCGAAACTAGGATTAATGACCCTAACGGGGTTATTGAATTAACTGTACCCGGCTTATCCTCTCGTTATTGGCTGCACGCATCCGGAGATGCCAATGCGGCACTCACGGGTCAAGCTGGTGTAGGTATCATTCTCAGCTCCAAGCTAGAGTCATCATTGGTTGATTAGATTCCGATGAACAGCCGTTTATGTGCAGCCCGTTTGACGACATCAGCTAAGGTGAATTCGCGAAGTAGTGCAAAACGCTGTTTGTTTGTGATTTCCGTTTATGCTCCCACCGACACCGTTCTAATGCAGTCAAGGACACTTTCTATCACGAACTGAACGCGCTACTATGCAGTGCTACTAGTTCAGATATTATAGTACTTGCAGGGGATATGAACGCACAATTACGGCTTCTGAGCTCCTCAGAAGCTCAGCTGGGTGGTAATTATGGACTTAACTCCGAACGGACTGACAACGGCGAGCGTCTGCTGCAACTGTGTGCGGAGCACCAGTTGTTTATTAGTAGCACTGCTTTTAGACACAGTGGGCGCCGAAGTGCCACTTGGCGTCCACCTGTAGCTGGCCAGCGATGGACCCAAATTGACCACATAGCCATAAGTTACAGGTGACGCGGTTCCATTCTGGATTGCCGCTCGTACTGGAGTACCTGTATCGACTCTGATCATGCCTTGGTGCGCTGTCGTTTCTCCATGAACTTTACCGGAAGGCGCACAAAGCATCTCCCCTGATTGGCAACGGAGAAATTGTCCCAGCCCTCTGTCAGGCAAGCCTATCAAGAAGCACTGCATAGCGAACTCTCGTTGTCTTGTCCTAATGACACTGAACTTCAGTGGAATAGGATCTCGGCCGCTATGCACGACGCAGGAGCATCTGTATGTGGCACTATCAGTCGTCACCGCACCAGTCACTGGATATCCGAGAGGTCGGTGAACCTGTTGGAAGCTAGAAGACACCTCCCGGCTGGTTCTGAACACAGTGTGACCAGACGGGCTATTAGGCGTGAACTAAAGCGGAGCCTACGTGCTGACAAGGAAGCCTGGTGGACCAGAATGGCTCAAGAAATGGAGGAGGCAGGAGCAGTAGGCAATTACCGCAAGCTCTTCCAGCTAATCCGCACCACTGGTTCCAGAAAACCAGGCGTCAGTGAGGCAATCAGAGACAGCGCGGGTGCGCTGATACACCAGAAGGAGCGCCGTATGGCTCGTTGGGCTGAACAATTTGAAGATCAGTTCAGCTGGCCCCCTGCTCTCGAATCTCTTCCTACTCAGGTGATGCAGGACATGCCATGGACGGTTAGTTTAGAGCCTCCGTCGTAGGCCGAGGTCCAAAACGCGATCACAGCCCTCAATCGTTTTCGTGCCGCTGGCCTGGATTCCCTCCCACCTGCACTATTTAAGGATGGAGGTGAGGTCCTCTGCAAGGCACTGACCTCCCTATTCGAACGTATCTGGAAGGAAGAGAGTGTCCCTGCTAATTGGAGCGAATCGATTATAGTGGCAATATACAAGAAGGGCAGTCGCACAGACTGTTCTAACCACAGGGGTATTAGCCTAACGCCAGTTGTGACAAAATTACTGGCCTCGATTATCGTTCGTCGCCTCACTGCAGAACGGGAATCTCGGATTAGGGAAGAGCAGGCCGGTTTTCGCCCAGGACGTGGCTGTATAGACCATATATTTACTTTGCGGCAGGTGCTAGAGCAGCGCCACGCATACCGCAGACCGACAATAGCTGTGTTCCTCGATTTCAAGAGTGCGTTCGATTCAGTCGATCGATCGATTCTGTTCGAATTACTTGCGCGAAAAGGTGTTCCCATGAAATATGTAAACATCTTTCGTGCTCTATACTCGAACACTACAGGCCGCGTCAGGGTCTATGGTGTCCTATCGGATAGCTTTTTGACTACAAGTGGCGTTCGTCAGGGTTGTCCGATTTCCCCGTTTTTGTTCAATTTCGTCGTGGATTCTATCATGGAGTGTTCCCTTGCGGAATCTCACGATGTAGGCGTTGAAGTGCTGCCTGGTGAAAGGTTAGTTGATCTAGATTATGCGGACGATATCGTCTTGCTTTTCGAAAATGTTGAGGCGGCACAATCTACCCTGAATAGCCTGTCCAGAGTTGTCCCATTATTTGGTATGCACTTCGCACCTTCAAAGTGCAAAGTGTTGCTGCAGGACCACCAGCCATTTGATGACCCCTTGACGCTTGCTAACAAGGAACTCGGGGTGGTTGGTGACTTCACTTACTTTGGCAGCTGCATCAGCAATGATGGGCGCATAGAAACTGACGTCAGCTCACGCATTGCAAAGGCCAGAGCTGCCTTCTTGAACCTGCGTCATCTTTGGCGACAGAAGGGAGTTTCCTTCTGTCTGAAAGGCCGTGTATACAAGGCCACATTGAGGGCCGTTCTGCTCTATGGTAGTGAGACTTGGCCCCTTCGGTCTGAAGATCTGAGGCACCTTCAAGTCTTTGATCATCGTTGTTTGCGAAGCATCGCTGGTGTCGGATGGCACTAGCGTGTCCGCAACGATGATGTGCGTAGGCGAGTACTAGGCAGTGATAATCATGCTAGCTCCCTAGAACAACAGATAGTACTGAACAAGTTGCGTTGGCTCGGGCACGTGCTACGCATGCCTGGTCACCGCTTACCTAAGAGGGCCTTGTTCAGTGTACCAGGTGTAGGATGGCGCAAGGCTCGAGGTGGACAGAAGTTGACTTGGCAGCGGGAAATGAAGTCACTGACGAGCAAACTGGGTGCCGTTGGTCCGTCTCGCCTTCCTGGCTGGAGTCCACGTGACTCACCTTGTGCTTGGCTCGAGACTTTACAGGACATGGCTCGCAGTAGACACCAGTGGCGCGTCTGCTGCCGTCTCCTAATTGGATTACCTGTTTAAAATGTGTTTGGTGCTGAGTTATCTGCGGGGTAATGGCTGATTATGACGCGTGGCAGTGAAAGCCGCAAGGAAGCTGTCTCGCCGATGCCGCCTTATCTTTGCACGATAGTCAGCTGTTTGTGACGGTATGTTGTCTACACAAGGTGTAGGCGCCTTGACCTTGCATGTTTGCTTAGGGCATTAAGGTTTTTCAGGTAAGTCCCCCTTCTCTCCCTCTTCTTATTCTTTATTTCATAGGTCGTCATGGTTGTATGGCAGCGAAGCATCAGTTCAAATGGCTGATGTACTGCTGTTCATGATGATGATGATGATGATGATGATGATGATGATGATGATGATGATGATGATGATGATGATGATGATGATGATGATGATGATGATGATGATGATGATGATGATGATGATGATGATGATGATGATGATGATGATGATGATGATGATGATGATGATGATGATGATGATGATGATGATGATGATGATGATGATGATGATGATGATGATGATGATGATGATGATGATGATGATGATGATGATGATGAGAGATGAATGATGATGATGATGATGATGATGAGATGATGATGATGATGATGATGATGATGATGATGATGATGATGATGATGATGATGATGATGATGATGATGATGATGATGATGATGATGATGATGATGATGATGATGATGATGATGATGATGATGATGATGATGATGATGATGATGATGATGATGATGATGATGATGATGATGATGATGATGATATGATGATGATGATGATGATGATGATGATGATGATGATGATGATGATGATGATGATGATGATGATGATGATGATGATGATGATGATGATGATGATGATGATGATGATGATGATGATGATGATGATGATGATGATGATGATGATGATGATGATGATGATGATGATGATGATGATGATGATGATGATGATGATGATGATGATGATGATGATGATGATGATGATGATGATGATGATGATGATGATGATGATGATGATGATGATGATGATGATGATGATGATGATGATGATGATGATGATGATGATGATGATGATGATGATGATGATGATGATGATGATGATGATGATGATGATGATGATGATGATGATGATGATGATGATGATGATGATGATGATGATGATGATGATGATGATGATGATGATGATGATGATGATGATGATGATGATGATGATGATGATGATGATGATGATGATGATGATGATGATGATGATGATGATGATGATGATGATGATGATGATGATGATGATGATGATGATGATGATGATGATGATGATGATGATGATGATGATGATATAACTGCCACTTAAACTTAGCGTGTACCGTAAGTACATTTTTCGTGGTCATTAATACCGCCTATGTTCAGCGGAAACCGATTATTGAAACGTCATAGTTCGATATTGAGGACCTAAGGGTGTTTTCAATGTTTTGTCACTGAGACACTAGTGAGCTCACCAATCGCTCACACACCCTGTCTGTATGTTCGATCTTACTAATGATAAGTGTCCTATTCTTTACTGCCAGTGACGCTAACGATGCATAATAATATCTAGTGTCAGATTTGGACATAGTGCACTATTTATTTTTTTGTCTTCACATTTATGCCATTGACTGTAAATACGCCGAAATGGGCTCACTGGCCGCACCCGTATCTACTACACAGGGTTGTTAGAACCATGCGACTCTTTGTTCTTCAGTGAAACCGCGAACGCTACAACCACTGGAACCTGGCAGATCATATAAAAGATCCAAGAGTTCCGTGTTAGCGCACCAGGAGTCGAAAGTCAATGAAACTCAGTCAATCGGCCTTTGTTTCCTTTTCCCACCTCTTTTCTATGCATTTTTCTGACACTATTGCTTCCATTCTCTTTTGTGTTTGCGTTTTATCTTCTCTGGATAATTGTCGTTATGACACCAAACTCCCTACGATTTATTGTGTAGGCACACCCTACTATCAGCCCATTCTCTACCTTAATGTTTTTGATAACGACATATAGTTGTTTACAAAGTGAATGTTTTTATATTCCAGCCTCACATATCTACTACGACCCCATCTTACGCATTGGGCACAGAAGAACTCCCAATCCCGGATCTGGCGCACACCACAATGGTTGGTGTCAGGCTGAACAGACAGGATGTTCGGAATAGGATCCAGTGGTTTCTCGAACTAAAACCGTGCGACTTCCGCAAAAAGTTGATTAAACATTATTTGAGGGAATTACGAAAATACTCAATGGTATCACGATCAAATATCAGATTGAAATACAATCCTTTGAATCAAGCAAATGAAACTGTCCGTGTTCTAACACAATTTGCCGGTGGCTCTTTGGATGTGGTCAGAAAATCTATCCAGGATCTAGGATTAACTGAGGTCAGTTTACTCTTTTTGTGTCTGAAGTTCTGTTTGGTTGTCTGTTGACGTTTTGTATTACCACACTGCGGCTTATCACAGTCGCTTCTGTGGCAGTGGAGTAAATCCCGTGATCAGCTTCTCGTAAGGCGAATAAATGTGCTGTTTGTTTATTTACTTTATCCGTTTTGCCTTATTGCTTCCCTAAATGTTTTATGTCGGAACGACATCTGTGTCTATTTGGCTTTGTATCCCCTTAGATAAATAAATAAATAGTTTATTTTCGGCGGTGCGACGCACGCTTGTAAAATCATGATCATGGTAATACAAACATGTATGACCGGTAATTGCACAAAAGATATGCTAAAGTTCCAAGAGTTTTCCGTTTCACCTTTTCATCAAGTTAATTTATCCACCACTATTGATGCACGGTAATGCAGTGTTTTCTGTCAGATTCACTGTGTTTCGTTGTCTTTTATTCTTAAGTGACCCCTGGCTTTGTTTTGCATCATTTCAATTCAGTTTGGTGGTTATACCCGAAAGCCAAAATGCCATTGATCCAGTTACCAGTGCTACCATCACTTCCTAATACAAGGAGAATAGCAGCTATTAAAACACAGCCGAATAAGCATCTGCATTCCCAAAATCATATCAGCAGCTTAGTGCTGAAAGTATTCAATAAAAATCGCTGTAGGAACACCGCATGCTCTCTGAGCGTGTTTGGTGCCTTGTTTATGGCACAGGAAGTGGGCGTGAACCGCTCAGCACCGTTAGTTCTCGCATCAGGCTCCGGTGGCTGGGCCACGTGCTGCCAATGCCAACACACGGACTCCCGCCACCTGCGTTATTTGCCTGTCTGCGGGTGGATGAAAGAGGAGGAGGGGTGATAAAGCGATAACGTGGTCAAGAGTAATAGAAGCCTTTAATTCGAAGTTGACTTCACTTGGAGCCTCGGCTCCCTGGTTGGGGTTCGAATGACCATGAACACGTTTGGTTGAACACACTAGTTGATCTTGCTAGGAGCCTAATCGTTCTCCTTTCAAGGCCTGGACATCCTGATACTACCCTGCTTACACACTACAACTATGTGGTTCTCTCCCCATGACTTTTTGATGCTCTGACTAGGAGTTGATCTCAATGGTTTTGTGTTGTGACTTCCTTTGTCCCTCCTCCTTTCGCTTAGCTTCATTTTCCATCCACGATCTCATTTCTGACACATAATGTAACCCTTTTTTGCGGCGCAATAGCCTTCTGGTGGCTCTCCGGAACGAAGTCCATCCATTACCGGTGTCTCAGCTGGCCTTCCCCTGTCGCGTCTGTCTTTTTTCCTTTCTCGTGTATTGCAGCACGATAGCTGAAGTGTTTCCCACCTCTAGCTAACGTGCATAATGAATGATGATGAAGACGAAAAAGTTACTGGAACGAGGTTAACGCTCACATGTAAGAATGTTACTACTTCCGAGAATGCGCCTTGTTGGATATGGTATTGACGCCATTGATACAACCGATCTCGTATCTTTTATCAAAGAATGCAGCATGCACCTGCATTTATACCTTTTCATGTCTTCTTAGCAGTTCATCGCTTGGCCACATCGAGAATTCATCCAACTTTGTCGAAAAGTTGCACCCTCCGATGAAGGTAGTCGACAGGGCATGCAACGTACGTGGTTCAGGTCTAAAAATCAGACGTTTACTTCACCAGATGGGTGGTTGCCAAACGCCAACTGTTGATAATCGATATTACTCTGTTGCTGGGACCGTCAGCCATTAGCGTTCGATGACAATCCGTCTTATGTTCTTTTCAAGGGGCAATGGACGTTTCGTACCCATACTTCCGCATCGATCGAACCGCAGTTTTTCACACTGTTGCTTTCTAAAGGACAAGGATTCAGTGAAATATGCCGCCATCTTACGCGTATTTCACCTTCTCCGTCATAGTGGGGATCTACGGTAAGCTATCTTCCTCTTCCCCTATGAATAACGGTGTGCTTCGATTCGGCACATGAGGACGCCTTATCGAGAACTCGAAGTTCACAATATTTTGGCCGAGCTTTTACCGCGTGAAAACGGGATCGATGTAGCTTATGCTGAAAAGAAGAAAGAATGGGCTCAGCAATAGGCCGGTCCCCCGTACCGACGCTTCCCTGCTGCACAACCAACACCAGTCGCACGTGCGCTAATGTAACTGCAAGGGTCGCCCGGTCTCTACGCAGTCTCGAACCTGCGCCATTAGATTACAATGCAGGCTTGTGAGCTCTAAGGCTACGGATCGGCGAATTATGCTGATGGTATCGCCTTAATTGGTGACGATCCCCAGAGTATGCAACTCAGTCTGAACCGTTTGGCGGTTGAAGCATCTAGGCATGACATGAGCTTCGCACCCTCGAAGTGTCAAGTATAACTCCAGAATTGGACGACATTCATTCACACGCTCACCCTTGGAGCTAAACAGCACGAAGCAATTGCTAGGCTCATCTCTCTTGGGAGCTACGTTTCTACTGGTGACACTATCAGCGAGGAAACTTCTGTTCGCATCGCTAAACTCTGATAAGCAGTGGTTAAGCTGAGGCACTTGGCGCGTCGTCGGGACATCTCCATCTCTGATGAGGGCCTCGTTTACACTGTCTTCGCTCGTTCAGTGTTGTATGGGAGCCTCCTGGCCACTTCGCGTGGATGACGTGTGCCGTCTTTTGGCCTTCTACAACGGATGTTTAACGAGGGTCGGTCGTGAGTGGAGACAACACCGAGTTCACGGTGATGACGTTAGGAGTCGCGTCTCGGGGAATGTGAGTATACCTTTCAACAAACTGGTTTTGCTGCGCCAGTTGAGACCGCTCAGTCCCGTCCTACGCATGTCACCTGAGCGGTTCCCGCGTCGCGCTCTAATCGCTAACTCAGGACCGGACTGGAGGGGACTGTGCGGTGGCAAGTCTTCCACTTGGCGAAAGCGCATGAAATCCTTGACGTTACGTTTATCCGCCATCGGACCCTTACGCCTTCTTGGATGGGATCCCGAAGGATGAAGTGTCGGTGTTTTGTCACGCTTGATGGCTATGTCTCGCAGTAGGAATAGGTGTAAGCGTTGTATGCTTACTTGTCCTGGTGCATCTTTTTACTACCACTTAATCAAGAAATAAGCTTTTAAAAACAAATATTTCGCTTCCTTTTTACTTATTTCTATTGATTTCTCTAATTTTTTATGTCTGATACTTTGCATATATATATATATATATATATATATATATATATATATATATATATATATATATATATATATATATATATATATAGAGGCTGTTGTTTGATATCCCCGGTGTGGCTGCGCTTGATGTGCATGTTGACAAGGTGACTACCTGTGTATTACCCACTACGTCGTCCATACTGGCTCCTTGAGACAGTTGGTCGTTGCTGGAGGGGGCGGGGTGCACGGTCCTTGTGGCCGTGTTAGGCTCGAAGAGTGGTTCCATGCACTCAGTGTGGAGCGGACTACGGTCCAGCCACCGCCTTGTGTGCGCTTGATTCCCCAAATACAGCGTGCTTGTGTTTGCCTGCGAAGGAGTGTGGGCCGGCTCCGTTGATGAAACGTGGTTCCCATCCGCATGCCTCCCGGTCTTATTCCTTCGGGTTTACACTGGATATGGGGTATGTGATTGGAGCTGTGGGTGGTGCAGCGCAAGCCATCCATGGTCCCTCTGTAGGCGCAGGCGTCCTGTGGCTTGACACAGTGACAGGCAAATCCGAACTTGGATGCCGCCAACCATATACATATATATATATATATATATATATATATATATATATAGTCCCCAATTAACGCTCTTATATGCGGACTCTAAGCACTAGACATCAATTGCAGCGGTTTCGTGCGTGTCTGCAATTTCGCTTGCTGCCTTATCTGAAATTAAGTGCGTACATTGAAGGTTAGTTTGAGCTTTGTTCCGGAGGTTTAACACTCCCCTACTCGGAGGCAGAATCCGATTGCTAGATTGCTTACTGGTGTATAATGTCTCTGATGAGGACCAGGGGACTAGACTTTATTTACTGGCGAATCATATCCGCCACGTCACGTTGCTGTTAAGCAAGCACTTGTAGCTTTTTACGTGGGGAACTGTTACCAAGCGAAAACGCACCACCACCCGGAACAGTGCCGCCGAACCATTCGCCAGAATGAGAAATTCTCCCGTCATCCAGCTGGCATGAAAGGGAGATTATTCGGCAAATCAAGTAAAAGTGGTGCTTTTAAGAAGATTCATATTGTGAACGTACTACATATCTGGAAGTAGCATCCGTCTGCTCTCCATCTTGTTAGACGAGTAGTAACCACACTATGTAACGGCTGCAGCTTTTTAACCTGATAGTTTATACTACTGCTGGTCTCTTTACCGGTTGTTGACACCACACCAGACGGTTGCTCGTTGGTACCATGCAGTAACCTTGATGTCCTTCAATTTCGTCTACTGTGTGCATTTCGGTTTTGAGCGCATTAGCATTGCACTCTGATTGAAGTCTGCAGATCTGCATACTGCTGTACTGTCCTGGCTTTCTTTATTTGTGACTTGGAAAGCATGAATTGCGAAGAGTTTGCGTTCACTTCACTCTATTTTGGTCACTATCGGTATAGTTATTTTGTACTGCTGCGTATTTTCAGGTGCTTGATACTGCCGAGAGGTACGAGATTATTTGGTGTGGTACCAGCGATATTCCAAAGATTGACCTGATTGACCGGTTTGTGAATAAGTTTCCAGGTTAGCATTACTGCTTACGGTTATCGGTTGTTTTGCTGCCAAAGAAACGCTTAACTAAGCCCTTTTTCTCTTGCTTCAGGTGCGGCGAGAGTATTATCTAAAATCAGCTTATTTCGAGGACTAGAGCTGTATCGTCGTCTGCTACCAATCTCATATGACTTTTATCCGCGCACCTGGTTTTTACCGTTCCAAATGCGTTCCTTACTGCACGATTTGAACACTAGTGAGTTATTTTTCTGTCGAAAAATTTGTTCTATAGAGACACCATGATCAACAATAGTTTTCATTTTTATGGACACCTATTATATTTGCAGTGTACAACTACACTGCTGATTCAGTTAGACGCAACATATCCATAGTGCTTGAAAACGTTTTATTCTCAACGGCTTAGATAACAACATCAGCTCTCTGGCTTCTATATCTGATGCTTGATAACCAGCGTTAGAGAGTACCACTCCTCCATCAATCACCACATTGAACAGACGGTGATGGGTCAAACTGAATGGTCGCTGGCTTATGCTTACTAGTCTTACTTCTTATCTAGCTTCATGATACATTGGTTAGATTATGGTGTATAATTGGCATACAGGTATACAAATGGGGATGCGAGTGTTTAGCGGCCCGACTATCTATCGCTTAGCTGACTGCGTACGTTTTTAGAATATTCGACACGACATGCAACGAACAAACGGAGAAATCGTCCCGATGCTGCCTACGGATATTAACTTGCTTCACAACTTGACTGGACCTTAATGTGGTGACAGTTTGCGTACCTCGACCTATTGCGCTATACTAGATGGGGCCCATGGGCCTTTTAGGAGCTACTCCTACCAGGTTGGTCAGTAGTTAGAGGTCAGACAAACTCAGTCTCCTGGTCTTCTATATTGGGGGTTTGAAATGGGATGGCGTCCATTTCTGTAAAACCGAGTCGTTGACACATTCGCTGCCTTGCGGACAGACTTTTAAGCCAAAGGTTTTTGTTGAAGACTAACCTTTCTCCTATTTGTTTTTGACCCCCCAATATCTTACCCCAGGTATACCATTCCTATTTCTTTAAACTTCAACCACATCCTTCATCCAACATCGCGCACATTATCAAGAGTCGCTTATCTGCTGCATACACCTGAGTAGATAAGAGAGAACAGCTTATTGTTGGTGCCTCCTTTCTTTCCTTTCCAACCGTTTCTCTTACCCCTCTCCCAGTCCCCATTGCCTGGTTCCTTTCACCGTCTGAGCCTGAGGTGCTCCTGAGGACTGAGTCCAACGCACTCTGAAAAATGTTGTGAACGCTTGGGTCAGAAAACTTAACCGAGTCATGCCGTTTGCGGCGACGCCGTTGGGAGCCACCAAAACGTAACGCGACTTTGGTACACACGAGGACGTGGTCCGAAGTAAGGTAGGTACTCCAGGTAGATTTGCAATCCTGTATGCATCTCCGCCAGCGGTAACTGTTGACGATGTTGTCGATTCGTGTCCACAGTTTTCTTGGTGATGGGGGTCTCTACCTGACGTGTTGGCACCAGGATTGTCGAAAGCGAATACTCCTCATGAAGAGGTCATGATCAGCTCAAAACTGAAATAGGTGATCACCATTGTTCAGCGAGTACTGTGGTCATATTGACCACCGAGTTCACGTTCATTAATCTCAAGTCTGCCGACCTGCACGTTTAAGTCCACAGCAAGCACCTCGTCCCCGCGGCGCTTTTTTCGGCGCGTCGTGATATTGACACTTGAACTCATCTTTGGCTGACTCCAAACGGAAGTCTCTGGGAGCGTATGCTGCTACAACGAACACGCAACTTCTCTGGCTCCGCAGCTGGATAGGCGCAGGGAGGTTTTAAGTCGGAACGTGCAGAGTCAACTGTTGATATGAATCCAGTCTAGTAGCAGGGCCTCAGCACGTGTGCTCAACGCAATCCCCACGCCGGCAAGACCAGGGGTTTCGGCAATTGAGTCTCCAGATAAGCGCAGTTTGAAACTGCCAGCGGAACTCACAAGTGGTACCAGTGGTAGCTTTATGCTAGGGTCCTGTAATCCGGTTTCATTGGGGCGGCAGACATCAGTGACAGTGATCTCAAGTATGCGAGCAAGGGCTGCCTATGATCCGATCTGCATCAGCGTCCGAACGTTAAAGAGTGCCAGCTTGGCTTGGGAATTGAGCGCTAAAAATGGCTTGCCAATACTACTTGTCGGCACACCTTGGACCTTAGATCCCTATCCGTCTGGGGATAACACTCGCCCAAGGCGGCACGGCATTGTGGACTCAGAAATGAAGGGAGACTACCATGAACAGGAGAGTTAAGCAAAAGTGGAATGATGTAATTGGACGGTGGTGCGGTAGGTGACAGTCCAACACCTTGGTCAGGCATAACTGGCGGAAAGCAGAGAGAGCGAGTGGAGATTCCGAAACTGGACTAAACTATCGAACAAGTAATCCCGTAAAATGCTGTGAGAAATCGTGTTATCTTACCTTTTGCGCTGCTCACCGGCGCGTGTCCCGAGAATACGCCGAATATTACACTTCAAGATCATTAGCTGCGTTCCTTGCGTATTGTTTTGGTTACAATATGCATTCAAGTAGTGTGCATGGATTTTGTGGTGCATAGGCACTATGGTCCTTTGGGTCCATCACTACGTGGTTGAATCTTAACGTGGAGGTGCAGGAATTATCTGCCGAGTAGCGCGACACTAACCAACTATGTTCACTATTGTTCAAATCATCTCCGAACCCACAGTGCAAACTACTGTCCTGCGATAGATAGCCGTTATTCACCCGTGTGAACATCTCCAATTATGTGAGTGCGTAAAGGAACGTGGCCAGCACCAAACCGAGTGCTCCATTTTCACTGGTAACGTTAGACTGAAGTATGTTATACGGGGTTAATATTGATTTAACCAATCTGCGTCTTGTCCAAGGAATGTATCAGCCTCAGCCTATGACGGAATTGTACACGCTATGCTCAAACCGCACAATATCGCTGTTCGCTCAAACATTGTTGACATAAGCATGGTATCAACTAGCGAAACCAGCAGATGTTAACATATTTAGCACATTTTTGTTGCTTTGACCTCCTGATAACCTCCTTGAGGAAACAAAGGGTCAGGCGCACTCAGATGAGTACCATCTTCTTGCGCATCGTGTATTGTGGTCTACGCAGGGCGCAGAGGCACGTCTCCATAAATTCGGTGATGTCACTACTTGGAAAGAAACCAAATCCACTTCGGACTATTTTCTTATGTGCAACAGTGCTATTGGCTCCTTTACTATTATGCATTACTGCTACCTGATCTGCTCAATTCTAGTATACAGCCTTTCATATAGACCAGCTGTCTGGCTTGGGAACTAAAGCCCTTCCCTGGTCACCACAAGCTCTGGTGTTCTTCAATTTGGTATTTGGTAAATATCTTCAGTTTCCACTTATTATGCCTGAACTTTCACCCAAAATTCGGACTTGTCGAAGTATTTTGGTATCGTGATCTCATGTAGCAGAAGTTCCATCAGCCAAATCACGGGCTTGGCTAGACTAACTCACTATTTGACCCAAATCTCGTTATCTATTGCTGAACGCAACAGATTAGGATGGCATTTTTCTCACAGCATGGCAAACACAATTGCTAACTTTCATATTCTCCCATGGTCTCACTGGGCCGGGATGTATCGCCTACAAATCTTGTGCATGAAATATTCAAAATATATGTGCTTGTCGTTTTACATTCCCCGTCAGAGGATCTCCTCCATCTTTGATGATGTTTGTTACTTATCACTGTAGGTTTTTCTACTCCATTGGCCGCTATGCTTTATCGTGATCTTTCTGTACTTGCTGTGTGGACACTACTTCCCAAGTCACCGAAGTACACATCTCAATATGCCTGCATTCCGGGGTGCTTTTTGCTAGCCTTATTATTTGTTAAGTTAATACAAGTAAACACTTGTTTCACAAACGCCCATCTACCGTGTTGTCTAAATGTATGTCTACTTCCACTACACAATGATCATTGACTTGTCAGTCTTCTCTTACTTGACATGTTTTTGTTGAACCTGCATTCCGTTACTCACAGGTCAACTGGCAACTTTGACGTCTAGTGTTTCTTCTGTCTTCTGTCTTCCTAAGGCTCTTGCCTGCACTACTTTCTTACTATAATTCATAATGGGGTTAGCGTTGCAGCCAAATATCTTTTTACTGGGTACATAACTAATTCTTCACTTGATTTGCACTAAACTGCACATCGTGCGTTACCAGTGACCTGCGTAGCTTGATGGTTCCTAAATGTTGTGTCTTGAGTGCTTTACGAAAAGTTACAGTGTATTTGCCGTGGTTGCATCAAATCAATAAGGAGCTAAACACCCTGGAAATTCAAAATGACTTGATGCACTGGTAGCTCGGGTTGATCGTTCCTGGATTCACTTGTTCGCCGAGCTTCGTAATTGGGATGTGAATGTTTCATCACCAAATGAGCTGACTTCCTCAGTGCGCTGCTGGGTCAAATGTAATCCGCTGACTCGTTCGTGGGTCAGACAGGCAGGCGACTGTCAACAATAATACAAGAGCATAAGAGCGCTTGTAAGAACTACTACACTCTCTCACTGGTTTGATTACATACGGACGAAGGACATCGCTTCGATTGGAACGACACAGAGGTCCTAGCAAAAGGAGAGACACGCAAAGGAAGAGCGTTCCTCGAAGCTTGGTATCGACGCATCATTCGATAAACATGCACATAGAGATTGATCCCGTGTACCAAACGTTAGGGCGTAGAGAACTAAAACCCCTTAACAAACCGTCTTAGTCAGCTAAACGAGCCATCAACAACACATCAGCAACAGCCGGGGCAAAACTATCCCACAGATCGCCCGTGTCTATCAGAGTTGGGCAGACTGGTGGGGGTCACGGAGCACTGATCGAGGAGGTCAGTTCAAAAATCACTTGCTAATCGCCTACAAATCGACGAACAAGTCAGCGGATTACATTTGTCCCAGCGGCCCACAGAGGTAGTCACCGCTTGGTGATGAAGCGTTTGCATCCCAATTACGAATCTCGGCGAACAAGTGACTCAGGAATCCTGGAAATTTCTTATCGGCCCTCTGATACTTTTTCCATCGACATGCATCTCTCTACCAACAAACGAGCCCCTCTAAATTGCATATTGTTACATGACCGGCCTGTCCCTCCTGGCCAGAAGCTACGTTATAAAACATTGCACGATTTAATCGTTCGCACTTTACCCTCAGGGAATATCTGGTTGTGTCGGTTGTACAAACACTATTATGCTCATTCAACTCTCTAATTCAGCGCTTCTTATCTGCAACCACGTTATCATATTTTCTTGCAGCTAATTACAAACCGCCTCTATCGTCAGAGAAGTCAACTTACATCGTTAAGCCAGATAATGGAACTCAGGGACGCGGTATTTATCTTTTCCAGTCAGCTAATCCGTACACTCGTCAAAACCTTGGACCCACTGAAGTCGATGGCCGGCACTCTCATATTCTCAGCAACACTTGCGCCAACGCCTCTGTCGGTTCCTTCACAGCTGAATTGCGGAACCAAAATCTGAACTATCTACAACCGGCTCTAGATGTCGTTCAACGTTACGAGATTAGCCCAACGCTTCTGTTCGGATACAAAACGGATTTACGAGTGTATGCAGTCATTGAAACGTTGGTCCCCTTAAAAATACACATTTACAGGGATGGATTGGTGCGTCTCGCGAGCCGCACTTACCACACACCGGATCGAAGCAATTTGTGCCAAGTGAGTAACCGAGATGAATGTGCTTCCCCAAACAACGCGTTGGTGCGCTTTTGCTTGTGTTTGCACTGTGCACCGGCATTCTTTTGCGTTTTCACTGGGCACTCGCTCTTGTACACGACTTCCTCTTTGTGAGCCAAACTCAACACCCACGGTTGCATCCTCCGGTGTCTAAACGAAACTGTCATAAATCCTAACTTTATCCTCATCATCATCACCATAATTCTGCGCATTTGTTATGGGTGATACACCCTAGCTAAGGTACCGCAATACAATTACATTAAGTCACAGCAAAAAACAACAACAACAAGTGCACAACGAAATGTTATTATGATTTTTTTTATTTTTTGCATTAACAACGAGATCTTGGTTAAATTCTGCTAAACAGGGTGGGATAGGAGAACCTCACAACACCTACGCCATTGAGATCGGTTACTGGCGACGTCAACAAGTGTACCCAACCAACTATGTTCATCATCTTTCTTGTCCTGACAAGGGAGTCGTGAAGCTCCAACCGAGGCCAACTTCGAAGTGAGGGACTTCATGGCTCTTGCTCTAGTCGTCGGTTGGCCTCCCCCTCTTTTTCTACCCATACTCGGTATGCTGGTATCCGCAACATGTGACAACCATCAGAGGCTGGTACGTGCTCTAATGGTGCTGAGCTGTTCAGTCGCTCTGTATGCTCCAAATACGCCCAACTGAACACACTCATTGCTCACGCCGTGTTCTCACCACATTTGAGAGCATTGGTGATCGAACATGTCCAGCCGCTTTATGTCGGTGGCTCTGACGGGTCAGGTTTCGACACTGCACCTTATAGCTGAACGGACAGCTGCATTGTAAATTACCATTCAGGGCGGATTAATGTCGCGCCGGCGCCACAGATTGCGGAGATTGATGACAGCACTTTTTGCTTTTGCTTTATGATTTGAGACCACATGTATACTGCCCCACTGATTGTACTGTTCCCCGGTAATCTTTAGTGGATTACTACAAACATATTTCTAGATGTAGCGACTTATCTAGAGATTCCTTAGTTTAATTTATTATCCGTAGGCATTTTGGCGCTTGCATGCATTTTCCTTCTAAGGTCCTAAGCGACTGCTTTCATCCGCTACATAATGCTCTTTCACAAGCCTTATCCATGTCTTACATGCGCTCAACATTTAACCTTTTGTTCTTTCCCACTTCCTCGTTTGGAACATAATCCTACCTCATTTATCCCGTTTTCTTATCGATCCAAAGAAAGCTATCAATGCTTTGCGCAGCACACCTTCTTCAACTTCATATAGATATTTTTAACTGCTCACATTCAGTGTATCCGCACTGATAGTGTGAATACTGAGAATGCATCTATTTGGGTGTAGTAAGCGTAATTTGACCACCACTTGACCTCCGTGCTACTCTCGCATTCGTTCACTGTTGGATTTTTCGCTGTTATTCAGTCGCATTTTGTCACACACGACTGCGTCCATACTTACACGTCTTGCTTTTACAAGCTCTATCTCGGGTGCCATTTTATTGAGAACACTGGCAATGCAATTTACATTTACTCTGAATTGTAAATTCCGGGTAGCGTTTCATCGATATATGTGCACGAAAGTTGCATAATTCCAGCCGTCGGAGGCATTTTTTGGACTCTTTCGATAGAGCATTTCGACGGCGTTCAAACGGGCCCTCACTTATGCAAGTCCAACATTGTGTAGAGCAGTGAATCCCTCTATCTCTCGACAACTTCACCTTGGGGCAATTCATCGGCCCGGTCCCGAAACTCCTCTATTAAACTCTCGTGTGATTTCCCCCACGGGCACACTGACGCTTTTGTCAGGCACGCCACACGAACGTCTTTACACTGGTCAGTCACATGTGATCTTGCCCTCAACACGAGATCAACATGAGATCAACTCACCAGTGGTGAGTCAGTGTAATGGTTCGTAACATTCGCTCAGCGAGTGCAATGCCTAGCGTGCCTCAATCCAAAGACAAATGTGAATCATGTGCCAAGTTTGTCGAAGTGGGTATTCCGCGTTCCAACTATTGTAAGATTTTCCATGCGAACTGTCAGTGAAATCTAGCCAGGCCCAATTGTTAAACAGCAAACCAGACGCTTTCTCTCTGTTTATCCCGCCGACAACAAGCGTGCTCCCATTATCTCGGCAATACGATCTACTACTAGGCAAGTTTGAGGAAATGGTAACCACCAACTTCACTACCGTTGGGATAGACATTGTAGGCTGCGCAACCCAGGCCTCCTCAGTAACTACTGCTCCAATCCTGAGGAGAACAGCTGGTAACGCCGTAAGCGAAACAGCATCAATAGCTCGGAAAATCAATTGCTGTTCCAATACCACAAGCGGCTCACATACTGCTAATGCGATTCTCAGCTCGATCGAAGTAATTACGCACTATGGTTTTGTCCACTCTCTCAACTGAGTGGATATCAATAGAGCAAGCAGACACTAGTGCAACTTGGGTTACGGTTGCTTTCGGCATCGGAAACTGGAGAGCGAATGCGGTTTCTTCTGGTGAAAACACCGCCGGTTTACTGCGCTTCATCACTGAGTGTGTCAAACACTACTGGTGACATGTCGAAAGATGCTAAGAAACAACCACCTGTACTGGGCGCACTGTGCTCCAATGTCCCATAATCAAAGTCGGCGCCAATTAGAGGCTGGCATTCGGACAACATCAACCAGTGGGATGTCATTGGTAACCTACTAAGTAATGTGTTTAACCCAGTACATGTAGTGCGATTCACGCGGCATCCCAATTTTAAGCATTACGGGAGCCAAGACGTATGCGCGTTACGCTGAACTCCATCACTGAAGTAGCATCAGTTTTGCTGTCGACAAGTCGACTCAGAAATGCACACTGCTCCATCTGTGTATTTCCAGACATTCTGTGGGGTGAGCCTTATGGAAGTAACTGCAGCTTACAAAAATTTCGCCAGTACCATTCTTGTCCATGGCGTTCCTGAAACAGAAGATTGGGATGAGCATAAAATAACAGCTCATGATAAGAAACACTAGTGCCACATACGTAAATCATTCCGCTTAGATGACGTGCTAGAGAAATAGGTGTCACGGCTACGCACGTCACTAAACTACCATTGGTGTGGCCTAACCGTGTTGAAGTTATTTCTACAGTCAAAACATATGGTAACACGGCTACTGAAAAGCTGGTGCATGTTTCGTTACAGGCTGCCATCTGAGTTTCGGCTGGAGGCTGTGAGCGATATGCTCTTCAGAGGTGGCATGTCATTCAAAAATCCAACGCGATGGGAATAATAATAAAGCAATGTGTCAGCAGTTACTTGAGCTCATACAACCTGTTGATAAAGTGAGTGACCAGACTCCCTACGCTATACTTAGAAGGTTAGATTTGGGATTAATTTCGAAGCCGATGAATCTGACATCGAAAGAGTAGCCAATTACTCACCGATTAGTCGCCTGTCACTGACTGGTCGGCGAAACTTCACCTCTGAATCGCACAACCTCCGACACATCGCTGAAATCTGCACACTAACGATAAAGGGCTCATCAGTACCTCAAGTCACGAATGCTTTGGACCTAATTTCCATCACCGAAACCAGTTTGCACGAAGAAATTGTTGATGCTGAGTTTGAGGTAGCCATGACCGTCTCAGCACGGGAGGTGGGGTCCTTCTGTACTACTTCAGTGACCTGCAATGTGCCATAGTTGATGATCCGGAAATTCATGTTATCGACTCGCTTTGGTGCCGTCTCCGACTAAGACAACGATGTATGTCTCGCAGCTGTCATTTGCCGTCACCCAACGTTCACTCCGAAAATGGATTCCAGCTTGATACCTACCTTGAACGGGATAAGGCGCTCTGAGTACAGCCACATTATAATCGTCGGTGACTTCGGTGTACACAATCTTGAGGTATCGACATCTCCCCATGAACAGTTCAAAGCAGACTCGCATGAACTTATCGCGAAAATTCCATGTCACCTCGCCCATTAGATTCAGCACAGTAAACATACCGTCCGTATTAGACCTTGTGTTCACAAATGAGGAGCTCCCGGTCTACAAGTTATTAAGGGACAGCCCATTAGGTCTCAATGACCATCTAGTCATAGCATTTAACGGTTTGCTTTGTAGCTTATTCATCTGAACACGAAATTAACTCACAAAATCGCACGCTACCACGTCGTGACATCTGCTTGAGATTTCTCGAAAAACAGTTCTTTTGACAGAGTTCGTTAAAAGATTCAGTGACATGGTCAACAGAGCATCAGAAACCAAGCCACTTTGTTCCGCAAAAGTGCCGTCCATTCTCAAAAGCCGGACACGAAAATACATGGTAATAGGGGATGCAACATGGCATACCTACAAGGTTAACTCAGACTCAATGACTTGAGGCAGCTTTCTGACCCACTGCAACCATTGTACTACACTTGTCAGTGGGGAAATAGTAGCTTATCAACAGTGCCTAGCCAAAACGTCTCTTGCAGACAACAAACTACCGTACAGGTATGTCAACAGCTTTCGTAAAGTATAGCATGAAATCTCTTCACTTTTCACAGCAGACGGCAGGGTGCAAAGTGCCGACGAAGCAACCAATACATTGCCGCTACAATACGCCTGCATTTTCGAATTCAAAATCTGTCCCTGTCACGTACGCCATCCACTCTACTGACTCCAGGGTTTACGCATTTAATTTCAAACCCATCAACTGTGCTGAAGAACTTACTGTCATTCGCGATCTCCGGAAGTCGACAATATTCGTCCGAAAGCACTGAAGGCTGCGGCCACTAGGCTAACCGGGTTACTGTCACACTTCTTTTAAAGATTCTCCGATGAACAACAACTCTATGTGAAACCATGGTATTATTGCCCCAAATTTTAACTGAGGTATCCGTTCAGACCCTGCAGACTATCGTCCAGTGACTCTCCTCCTTGTGATAGAAGTGGTCGTCGCTTAGGTTCCAGTGCACTGCCTGAAGAAATGCAGCATCTTGACATCGGAGCAGTATGGCTTCCGTCAACAACGGTCATGCGCTACCAACTTGCTGATGACACGAGGTAGTTAAACGGTAGTGGCCGATAGTTAGATCGGAGTTGACCTAATTTATCTGGACTTCTCTAAGGCTTTCGACTGCCTGGATCACTGCATCCTACTTCACAGACTACAAAGCTATAGCGTCGGGGATCTTGATCTGTATCGGATCGCCAACTTTCTTCACCAACACAGACTTCAGTTGCGTGTTAGGGGATCACTCTCCAACTCGAATGAGGGGGAATGCGGTGTTCCATGGGGCTCAGTGCTGTGACCTCGCTTATTCCTATTGTTTATCAACCACCTGACATGAGTTATCTCTTCCAACTTCTCGCCGATGTTGTTAAGATATGGCGAATCACGGTTTCCTCCAACATGACCTGGATTGCACTTATGAATGCATAACGAGGAATCTACTTCAGTTGAACACAGCTAAATGCACAGTGATGCACCGGCATCACCATCCCGGGAGAGTGTACAAGCTTGGAGACCACATCTTGCAGAAGGCCTCCCAGGAGCGTGGTAGGGGTGTTCTGCTACAGGACAATCTCGACTGCTCCAAACAAGCAGAAAAGGCGTTGAGACCCGGTACTTAATGTTATCCTTCTCCGCTGAGCGTTCGTTTGGTTTGACACTTCAATCTTCTCACAACTGCTTAACGTCTACGTGTGAATGCACGTGACATATACCATCCAGTCGTGACACTCGAATCAGAAACCGGATCTCGCTGCCCCTGAGACTCCTCAACGAAGGTCAATCAAACACTTTAGGACTCTCTTCCATCTGCCCTAGCAGCTTAGATTGAAGCCCCTAGGAATATTCAGCAGTCGATAACGGCGCTTGCAGGAGGACCTGATAATATTTTACTAGATGCTGAAGAACACAAACATTTGCCGTCCGCTGCTGGAACTGAACCACAAATGTAATATAAGAAGTTATCCTATGCTAACCTTACAGTATAGCCGGCTAAAAAGGCATCGAAATTTCTTCGCACTTCGCGTGTGTCAGCCGTGGTACAGCCGTGATTACAATGTGCCGTTAGAACCATGGAAAATAGGGGACACGGAATACAATAGCAAGAGAAAACGATTTTTCGGTTTTTACACACGCCACACTGAATTTTTTTCCTGTTTTAAACTTTTGTCTTCGATTACACTAAGTAGGGAATTACTGAGCTTAGCAATACCTTCGCCACTGAGTTCTGTTGCGCGCCATCCAGCCTTCCCGCGCACTGAGAGTCTGAGTCGCGTGGTCTCCATCCTGAAAAGCGGGTGTATGGTTGGACTGGTTACGACTTCTGGTAGACTGTGTTGGAATCCTAGGGTCGTGTTTCACAGGCAGCAGATATCAAATGCAAGGGTCTCCAGTGTGCATGCAATCCGGCTTGCTGTCCAATCTGCAATAACATGCGCATGTCAAAGATTGCCAGTTTGAATTGCATTTCAGGTTGCAGTAACGATGGTGGCAGACTTCGGGGCTGGGAGCTCCCTGTTGATGATTGCTTGGTTGCGTTGACGGATGCTAAGAGAATAACTTCATCGGCGGAGGTAGGGTTGTTTACCGTTGAAGAATCAAGTAGCAGTGGAGTGAATCATACAAGGGAAGGCTAGGTAACTTGGTGGCGTGTTTGTGAAGTTGGTGTAGTAGCAGAACAAAGGATCATCATGAGAGTGAAAGAGAGTGAGCGTAGTTCTATGATTCAGTGGTTCATCAGTAGGCGAGCTAGTACACGGTTGCATAGGTAGGTTGACTAAGTGGGCCACCACCCCAAGCCCTTGGTCAAAGCCTAGCCTACAAGGCAGCAGGGTGAGAAAGGTTTCTCACCCGTTGGGAGCCTGTGACTGTGCATGCAGTTCATACGCCTTTCAGATGCCGACAAGCCATACTAGGTCTTTAACACTCCTGAAGTCGGAGGCGGAATCCTATGCTCGGATTGCTTACTAGTTTGCAATATCTTCAAGGGAGACAAGGAGTAGTGACTTTACTTAGTTGTGAATCACATCCGCAACTTCGCAGTGTTGTGAAGCAGATACTTGTGCCTTTTTGTAAGGAGAGCGCTTGCCAGGCGTAAACCGTCCATGTTCTGGAACACTGCCGCCGAACTACTCTACGGAACAAGAAACACCCGAAATGCCCAGCTGCCACGACGGAGGGTTTGTTCGGTAAGCTAGCCACAATTTGTCCGGCGGTTGCATAACAATGTTCGACCGTTTTCATGTCCGGAACGGTAGTGCTTCCCTTTCTGTATCCTGTCACTCACCTAACCATCTTTGAAGAAGGCTAGACATGCTCCAACTAGCTTTGGATATGCTGAATCTGTTGTCTTCGACGGATCTAATATGCATCAGGATCATGTAAGCGCACAAGTGATGATCCACTCAAAGCATCCGCTTTACTACAGGTCGCGTTTTCAAACACCAGAAGTAAAGTATGGAATGCAGGAATTAGAAGCATTCCTTGATCTATTTCACATTGGTTTGCGAGTCTTGTCGTTTATTCGTAAGTCAACTCTGTATATTTGGTTATAAATGCTTGTAGAACCACTGTTTATCTAGTACAAGTTATTCCGCCCATTGGTCTCGCAAATTACCGCCCAGACCTTGCTAATGTATGATGACTGGCTTGTCGTTTGGCCTTCGCAGCAATGGCGGTAACACCGGTGGGTTCCCAAAATGCCTGGCTCTTTTATAATTGCAGTGTCTGTAACTTCCTCCATACTTCTCGCTTGTCTTTTGTATTATGTTGAATAGGTTTGCACTCTATTTCTTTGCCGCTGTTTGCACATTTTACGTCAAGTTGTGCTTGGAGCAGAACCAAATGAACTGACTGCATCGAAATCAGAATGGACTGATAACAGCAGTATTCTGATTAGATGTATGACAGAGAAACAGGACGGATATAGCAGAGCAATACCGTAAAAATCAATTTCTATCCCCCGTAATAGCTCAGTTGATGCAAGAACAGCAAAAGATAGTTATTTGACAATGTAAATGCAATTTGTTCACAGGACAGGGTTTTTCTGGTCATTATCCGAACGTACGTTGTATACTTCGTAATCCTGTAATCATGATCCACTTGTTTCTCGGTCACAGCACACTATGCATCTGACAAACTATGCAATCAACAAACTACAACATCCACTCGAAGGAGCTGCTCCCGTCAAGCGGCAAACAGCTGGGAACGCCGTGGAGACGAATAACAACAGCCAGTCGGTGACCGCATGTAATTCGGATTCGTCCAAATGGCATTGTAAATACAGCTTAAGTGATCTGATCCGACCCAAAGCGCCTTGGAGCCACATCGACTGGGAAGCATTGTGGTCGCGAGTGGATGACATTGTACGACACACTATCTTCACTTTGGTGCCGGAACTCAAGGTATCTTACTGGGCAGAATACGGAAATCCGCTTGGTATTAAGGACACTGCGAAATCACACCCGCTCATCTCGGAAAATGCTTCCACTTTCAAGGGCCCTAACTGCTTTCAGGTGAAGACTAAGCTGCAAATTCTATCGCGCTATTGTTCACTTCAACCTCCGTGTTTCCATTTACGTTGTATTATACTATGTACCAACTAGCAGGAAATCGGTGCATCCCTCTGTCACTCACCTAGCCATCTTTGAAGAAGGCTAGACATGCTCCAACTAGCTCTAGATGCACTGGCTGTGTTGTTGGCTTCGACGAATCTAACATGCTCACCCAGCCTGACAACGCAACAACCATGACTGCGGTGACGAGCGCTGTGTATTACGAATTGTACAAATATTAGATGGTATTCCCTACAAACACTGCACTTCAAGATCTGTTTCCTGTTTACTTCTACTCTAAGCAGAAGTAACTGGGGTCCTTCCCAAAGCAAATCCTAGCTTAACCTGAGGTCGCGCGTCGTGATCCATTCAGATAACGAGTACTTCAAACGAAACTACGAGTGATTTTACCTTTCATCTCTAGAAGCTAGTTATTCTATGGTTCACATCCATCTTACGCATCTGGCAGCAAGCGGAAAAGATTAGTTTGACATCGCAGATGCAGGGTGGATCGTAATGCATTACTGTTCTTCAGAATTAAACCCTAAGAGATTGATGCAAGTACACGACTTGCCCAGGGATGAATATTTCGCTCTATCGCGACTCGTTATAATGTGCACTCTTTCTCAGCTCCCACCCCCAGCTATCTTATCATTCAGTTTGATATTACACGAGCCTATGCGATCTCTCCCGCACAAGGCAGAAGCGTTTACGGTTTCGAGGCATGGAGTGTGCCATCGAGACGTTGTTGCCTTGACTTGTCCTCAGGTGCGTACACTGTGGCTCGAAGGTTATAACTTCCTGCTCACCAATGTGTCTTCTCCTCATTTGATCGTGAGTACAGAAATGTTAAATCCGCTATCTGATACTTATACAGAAGATTCATCTCTCCTTTGATTTATCAATTTCGCGCCGAGCAATCGGACAGGTACTTAAAAGCTTTTCTCTGACCTCATCTACGCGTACAGGCTTGTAGGCCGTCCGGCGTTACCGTAATCCATGGCTTACCAAAATGATTGCACTACTTAATGGAGATGATAGTGACTGTGGCGGTGGTGGTGGTGATGATGATGGCCTCCCTTCTTTCGGTGATGCCGTTTTGGTGTTGACAGGCGTTGTTTTATCAACAGCAGGTGCGAGGTATCGGAGTGTGACGCAGTTCGCAATGCAGCGCCACTTATCGGACCTCGGTTTGATGCACGACTGCCATGCGATTAACATCCCCCTGTTAAATTCCCTCTATGCAACTCGCGTATATATTGTCTGCGTAGTGCAACTGGGTCTCATATCAACCCCTCATTTAAATAAACAAATTGGTTATTCTCAGTAGTGTGAGACACGCATACCTAAGCGTGAACATAGTGTTACACTCAAAAACAGGACAACGATTACAAGCTGATTGGAAAAGTTGAGAGCTGTTCAGATATGGCCAGCCTGGGGAACACGCGTGGCACAACGGAAATGTTTAAAGTATTTTATTCTGATGAAAAGTGGTACGCTTTAGTATTGTATGATCAGATATGTTGAATAATAGATTTACGTCCTATCCTACAAACAAAGACCAGCTAAATATTTGTAAGCCAATTGCGTTAGGGTGGCTTATGTTCCGTAATGATTTCACCGCTACGGAAGAAATTTACTTCCGTATTAAAAGTTGCAATGAAAGTCATAACTCCTTGTTACAAAACTATTATGGTTTGCAATAGAAGGATCCAACTCTTTCTTTGCATAGTGCATGTGCAATCCGCGGCCAGTGTCAATAAACGCCGCGCAGTTAGTTTTCCATTGCATTTTCAGAAATGTTACAACACGAGCATGTAATAACCCTCTTGCTAATCGCAGTCGCTCTGATCCCATGAGATTAGGCTAACCACTGTTAGCAAGCTCGGGAGATAAAGTAGCATATTTGCTTACGTGGAATGACGCCTTAGAGCTGCAGTTGATTCATTGCTGCCAAAAGTCTCGGCCAAACAGCCCTGTACCTCCAGCACTGAACGTGCGTCCGCGTTGGTGACACACTTAGCTTCCGTGTTTGTAAATAGGCAGGTGTCTGTACGAAGTTCCATGTGTACCGTGCTTACCGAACTCCGCAATCCTATTTGCGGTATTGAAGAGGTGGGCCAACTAGTCACCAACCTTGACGGGACCAAAATTCCTTGGCATGGTGGATTCCACTCATTGATTCTCAAATCCCTATCGGCCATCATCTCACCTACTGTGACATACTTGTTCAACGAGTCACTGTCCGAAGATTCTTTGCGCATTGATTAGAAATGCTTGCTGGTAAGGCCGATTACATAAGCGGTAATCGCAGCAAAGTGGACAACTGCAGGTCAGATTGACACTTTCTTTGGCCACGGTTGTCGAGAATATCTTGAAGTGAGGTCCACTACAGCTGCTCCAATCAGAATATGTACTGACGCCCGCACACCGCGATTTCATGTTAGGTCGCTGATGCATTACCAACCTTCTGGTGACGAGGCATGAATCGTTGCAGGCATTGAACTAGGGGAAGTCTGTCAATGTAATTAGCATAAATTTCAGTAGTAAACCATAAGGTTCATCTCCATAAGATGAGGGTGTGCGGTGTTGGTATATCACTGCACCAGCATATCCAGAACCTTCTCGTTTGGCGAAAGTGTAGAGTACAGGTAGATGGTCATCTAATTAACACTATCCTTCTGCTAGTGGAGTACCGCAAGGCACGGTGTTGGGGACCACTCTGTTCCTACTCGACATTATCGATCTAACTCAGCTTTTTCGGTTGCCATGTGCCCTGCTTGTGGACCACCTAAAGATTTGGAGTGTGATTAACACCCCGGCGTACTTCAGCAAGACCTCAACCGTCTCTTCAAGTGGTCTGCGGGAGTCTGCCTCCTTGTCAACCTGCGGATTTCGAGCGGTTCTCCGAGCTCAAAATCTCCGCTCAGAATCCGCATCCACACCCCGAGCTACGCATATTCTCATTTATTCTTTGTCAATCTATCCAAGTCGATATTTATGAGCATGGAGAAGGCTGGTAACGACCGCGTTTACTCCATTGACAGCCAACTGCTACATTTCACACTTTCCGTGAAGGACCTACATGTACTCTTGCACTGCAATTTAAATTCCGTGGATAGCATCAAGAGGCTATATCGTAAAAGACTTCGTATGCTTTTGTGCGATCAAACTCAGCTTTTGTACTTGGTCTGAAGAGCTCGCCACTCTCCTCTTCTCCTCCATACTAACACCAATACTAGAACATGTCCCGTCAGCCTGCTGTCCAACCACCTGAGTCGAGTCACAGAAGATGGAATGGGTCCAGCACGTCGATACTAAGCTCATTTCGAGTTTATCATTATTGCCGTACGAAGACCGGTGCGAGGAACTGGTACTCTATACCTTGACCTGTCGTCGGTTTCGAGTCTATCTCGTCATGACCTACTGCATATTACATCTCGGTGGCTTCCCCGTTTTAAGGCCGCTGCTTCACTTGCGAACGGCATGCAACTCACGCGGGCGCCAGTGCAATCTTGTGTTTCCAGCACTAAAGCGATTTCCGTATCCCCGTGCTTCGAACGAGTGTGGTACATGTATTAAACAGTCTGCCAGAACAAGTAGAGACTGTATCAATACAATAGCTCAAAAACTTGTTTGATTTATATTTCACCCCCATGATTTAGAGAAAGATTGCACATTGGTAGTGACCGCTTACATTTGTGAGTCGGACATTTCTCAACTGTTACATACGAATTTGATGAGCGATTTGAGTATCAACTGGTGGCAGGTACATTTTGCCACATTTTGATTATATTCCGATGGGGTTGTGCGAATTTAAATTTCTACTTGCTCGCACGATGCGGAATTCTGTATTCGAGGTAGCTAAACTTTTGGTGTTGCTCCCGCTCACATCTCACTGCGTGACTGTCTTCGTTTTTCTCTGCACCGATCCGGTAAAGATAGTCGAATAGTCTGAATCCAGGACTTAGGGGTTAGCAGTCGGAGCATTTACCCTAGTGACATCAAGTCACGTGTCACAACGGTCAATCCTTGATTGCGTGCGTCATTTTGAAGCACACGTTGTGTGAACGGACTGCGATAAACATTCTCATCCATACTGAGATTTACTTTACAGTGGATCACAATCCGCTCCACCACTGAGCTATTGCTCACTCGCAACGAGGTACTCCGCGACCGCTCCCGTGCTCGTTTTCACTCATGAGGTATGTAGAGCAGAATTTCGACTCACGATCTAGAAGAGATTGCATCTCACAATCAATCCACATATTGAGTGTCCCAGGTAAGCTCATAAAACATTTGACGGGTCAAATGTGTTTTTATCCCTACTTGTCTACCTTTACTGTATAAACCGTTCGCCCCTGATGGGATGACTCTTCAACTTTGTCAAACTTGACGTTAACTCCTGCCCGAGATATCCTATCAAGTGGGAATAAGTGCCGACCTTGCGCAACACACGTTCGCTGTCACAAGTATAGCTAAACTGCAGCGACCGTGTATCACTTCATCATTATCATCAATACAGTTTAGCCGAGAGTGCGAAACACACTTTAGCTAATGTGCCGCAATTCAAAAAGATAAGAACTTAAAATTTACAGATTACAAAATCTAGAACAGTAACATAATTCTGGACTCACACTACGCATTGAGTTTGAGATTGCTGTTGGAGAGCGAAGCTAAAGGGAAAGGCAGCGTCTCAACACAAACGACATGGAGATCGGCTATTTGCCGTGTCAACCACTGGATAAAACCGAACGTGTTCATCGTACACGATGCATCACAAGCGTCACGATATACACAGCAGCGGCGCTGTTAAGATGTGGGTCCGAAGTTGGCATCTTTCAGCGGCATTGAGACCTATCCGTTCAATTCATCCGTCGCCTTTTAAGCATGAGCTTCACGTAGCCAAGCTGATTGTTCACCAAGCATGCTCAACTGTGGTGCACAGCTTATGCTGCAGAACAATGTAAATGATAATGACGGGCTAGCGTCTGTCCGCATCTCCCACTTAAGCGACAGGCATTTTCATTCCCACCATGTATCTGGATGACGGCTTCACTGGCGTTTACGCGATTTTCGACAGTCTCTTCCTGCATTCTCTCCAGCACCTAAAGTCGGTTTTACTTTATGACAAGCTCACCTTGACCATGTGCTCGTAACGAGGTTTCCGTTTGCCGGCCGCTCTTTCCTGTAGTTCTGCCGCATGCATTCGGCGGACACGACCAAGCTACTGGAGTGGCGGGACACTTGAATACAGGACATGTATGGGATCTTGCATATCGCTTTAGTGGTAAGCATTCATCGTCAACTGCTCAGGTTCCGCCATAAGCTCAGTTAATGAAATCTTTCCATACAACGGTTGCCTTGCTCGTGTAGCTCCCATTCTTTGTTGCCGTTAAGAAGGACGAACGTCACTGCTCACTTGTGCACCGTCAGCTATTCCCAGCGGCCAGGTTATGGTTTTCCCGAACGCAGAGACCCAGAATGCCGAATGTCGAGTGCGCTGCTCATGGTACGCTTTTGAGCTAGACGCAATCTGCCGTTTCATACTAGTGCGTTACCAGTCCGGCTTTGTGAGTAGAACAGTGACTCCCCTTCTAGTGAGCGACACACACAACCACGCTCCTTGGAGGCACATAAAATTGTTGCTGCACCAATTCTTGTGCCAAGAAAATGTAAGGGATGTTTGCTGCAGTAATGGATATAAAACCATAAATTAGCGAAAGTGCATCCACCCTTACTTTGCGTTCACCAATTTTGCATGGGATCACCATTGTCATTTCCCCCTGTCATTATGTATCAGAACTAAACCATGACACCAACTATTCACCTGGTCAACTTTTCACTATCTACGTGGTCATTAGTATTTGTGATTTCCTTTCGTCTCTTCATACTTAAGATTCTGGGATTCGACTTCCTCCTGGTCGAACCAGGCTCCCACCCGGTACTTTTGGAAGTGAACAGCAACCCGAGTTTGCGCACCGATTCGGTTCAGCATCTTTTACGTCGTGTATCACCACAGTCACCTGATGCCGAATATGAAATTGTTGAGCTGAACCGCGATCTAGCAGCAAAGTGTTTCACGCATGGACTCGTACCGTTTGGGCCACTTGCAGAGGTTGCCACAGTACTCTCTTCCGTGATGGGCGACCGCTACGCACATTTCGAGCGGAGTGCAGTCGATGAAAAGGTCAAAGGAGGCCTGATTCGTTCTACCATTCAGCTAATCTCCAGGAATATAGTGGCTAGATATACCGATCCTCTGGAACCAGAAGCTACTTCAATGCTTCATACACCTGGGTTGTACAACGACGGATACGGAATACAGCTTCCGATGTTAGATTCCTCGAAATCCAAGACCTCAAACACACCCTCATCACCAACTGTAAAAGGGCTGCAACACAGCGCATTTTCACGCTCTATGCTGCCAACGGGAGTGGCGAGGAGCAGCGGAAATCCAGGTTCACTGGTTACGAATTCGATCTGCCGGATGAATCGTTTTAGTGCGTCTGAGAAAAGCGCGGTTGAAACAGAACAGGGGAAACTGGCCTGTTCACCATCTGATCAGCCCAATTTACTCGAAACTAGCAACCTTGTTTCACAGCATGAGTGAGTGCGCTCACTACTTTTTTTTCAACATTTGTCTACAGCCTAATGACCGTTGGGCACGAAGTTAACCACTGCATTTCTAAAAAGTGCGCTCTTGTTCACCTATTCTGACTACGAAAAATTAACACTACTTAGAGTTTAGCCTCTTAGTTGCGGCCAGTAGTTACATACTAGTCTCCGATTTTGTGGAAGAACCTCTAACAAAATATTTTTATTAGCACGTCGCTAGATTCCTCAGTGAGCTAAAATTTCAGCTTTATTGTGCTTGTCGTGAAATCTTTCCATAGCAATACAAGAGGGGGTATTCTTGCTTGAACTGCTATCCCTACATGCCGTATACATCGTCAGTCTGTTGGATTCCTCACTAAATTATGCTCCTTTTTCGGTCTTCTGTCACCTGCACCTCCATCCGATATTGTTGCCGCAGTTGGTGTGAGGTTTTTAGCAATACCGGTTCTGCGAAATGGTGAGCATAGTATTACGCAAACTGAATTTCACCTTGTCTAGTTACTGCACATGTGGATACCTTTTCAATCAGTTTCCCACCAGTTCATGTTCGTAGGGGAGTTGTGATCTTTTGCTAATTTGTGCATCAATACTAAGCTGCATGTGACCTCGAACTCACAATGGTTGCGATTCCTTTTTTCAGGAAAACAAAGGTTGTTATCGAACCTTAATCTTGTGAACCCGTCTCTGCTTTCCACACTTGCCTTCTGTAGTTCCCGTCTGTAACCCAGTCACACGGCAGCCGGTTGAGTTATTCCACATTAAGAGAGGAACAATTAGTTAATGAGATATACCAGCTTCCAATCGAGTTCACTCTCGGTTCTACTTCTAGGTTAGTTCCGCCACTGTCTGCAACCAGTTATCATTTTTACCCTCACTATTGCAATCATAGAGCTCTAAACACCGTCGGAACAAGACTGGACCTTAACGTGGTGCGACGGTTTGCGTACCTCATTGACCCATTCAGCTATACTGGGTGATGCCTCCGAGCATCTTGAGAGCTACTCCTACCAGGTTGGTCAGTGGTGAGAGGTCAGAAAAACTCAGTCTCCTGGTCCTCCAGGTTGGGGGTTTGAAATGGGATGGCGTCCATCTCTGTAAAACTAAATCACTGCCACCCCGCTGCCTTGCGGACAAGCTTTCGAGCCAAACGCTTTCGATGGGGACCCTAATCGTCCTCCTGTCTAAATCTGGGCGCCCTGGCAGTATCCCAGCCCACATACAACCATGACATTTTCTTCAAACATAAACTTCATCCTGCATCGGCCGTCGTGCAGATTATCAAGGGTTGCCTTATCTGCTACATACACCAAGCCGGATAAGCGAAAACATGCTACTGCTAGCGCCTTCGTTCTTTCTTTTCCACCTTTTTCTCTTACTCCATCCCGATCCCCATTACTAACCTTTTATAGTTACCAGCTTAATTGACAGCAGCCGAAATGCCACTGGAGTAGAACCATCTGCAGCCACCATCCCACAGCACCTATCGGACGCCCATTAGCAAAAAACCCTTATAAGGCCACGCCATCCCGTTTCCATGGCGACATTCAATGTTCGCAGTCTAAGACAAATAGATTAACAGGCTGCACTCGCACGCACCTTGGACACACTGGGTATTGATGTGTGTTGTGTGTCCGAAACTATGATCGATGACCCTAACGGGTTTATTGAATTGACTGCACCCGGCTTATCCTCTCGTTATTGGTTGCACGCATCCGGAGACGCCGGTGCGGCACTCACGGGTCAAGCTGGTGTAGGTATCATTCTAAGCTCCAAGGCTGAACCATCGTTAACTGATTGGATTCCGGTGAACAGCCGTTTATGTGCAGCCCGTTTGACGACATCAGCTAAGGTGGATCCAAGAAGTAGTACAAAACGCTGTTTGTTTGTGATTTCCGTTTATGCTCCCACCGACTGCAGTTCTGATGCTGTCAAGGACAAGTTCTGTCACTAACCGAACGCGCTACTACGCAGTGCTACTAGTTCAGATATTACAGTACTTTCGGGACATATTAACCTACAAGTAGAGCATCTGAGCTCTTCAAAAGCTCAGCTAGATGGTACTTATGGGCTCAACTCTGAACGGACTGACAACGGTGAGCGTCTGCTGCAACTGTGTGCGGACCACCAGGTGTTTCTTAGTAGCACTGCGTTTAGACACAGTGGGCGCCGAAGTGCCACTTGGCGTCCTGCTGTAGCTAGCCAGCGATGGACCCAAATTGAGCACATAGCCATAAGTTACAGATGGCGTGGTTCCATCTTGGATTGCCGCTCGTATTGGAGTACCTGTGTCGACTCTGATCATGCGTTGGTACGTTGTCGTTTCTCCATGAACTTTACCGCGAGGCACCCTAAGTGTCCCCTACGATTGACAACTGAGAATTTGTCTCAGTCCTCGGTCAGGCAAGTTTATCAAGACGTACTGCGTACCGAACTTCCGCAGTCTTGTCCTAATGACTCTCAGCTTCAGTGGAATAGGATCTCGGCCGCCATGCACAATGCAAGAGTATCTGTTTGTGACACTATCAATCGTCACCGCACCAGTCATTGGATATCCGAGAGGTCGGTGAACCTGTTGGAATCTAGAAGACACCTCCTGGCTGGTTCTGAACACAGTGTGACCAGACGGGCTATTAGGCGTGAACTAAAGCGGAGCCTACGTGCTGACAAGGAAGCCTGGTGGACCAGTAGGGCTCAAGAAATGGAGGAGGCAGGGGCAGTAGGCAATTACCGCAAGCTCTTCCAGCTTTTCCGCACCACTGGTCTCAGAAAACCAGGCGTCAGTGAGGCAATCAGAGACAGCGCGGGTGCGCTGATACACCAGAAGGAGCACCGTATGGCTCGTCGGGCAGAACACTTTAAAGATCAGTTCAGCTGGCCCCTTTCTCCCGAATCTCTTCCTACTCAGGTGATGCAGGACGTGCCTTGGACGGTTAGTTTAGAGCCTCCGTCGGAGGCCGAGGTCCAAAACGCGATCACAGCCCTTAATCGTTTTCGTGCCGCTGGCCTGGATTCCATCCCACCTGCACTATTTAAGGATGGAGGTGAGGTCCTCTGCAAAGCATTGACCTCCTTATTCGAATGTATCTGGAAGGAAGAGAGTGTGCCGGCTGATTGGAGCGAATCGATTATGGTGGCAATATACAAGAAGGGCAGTCGCACAGACTGTGCGAACCACAGGGCTATTAGCCTAACGCCAATCGTGACAAAATTATTGGCCTGGATTATGGTTCGTCGCCTCACTGCAGAACGGGAATCTCGGATTATGGAAGAGCAGGCCGGTTTCCGCCTAGGGCGTGGCTGTATGGACCATATATTCACTTTACGGCAGGTGCTAGAGCAGCGCCACGCATGTAGCAGACAGACAATAGCTGTGTTCCTCGATTTCAAGAGTGCGTTCGATTCAGTCGATTGATTGATTCTGTTCGAAATACTTGCACGGGAAGTTGTTCCCATGAAATATGTGAACATCCTACGTGCTCTATAATCGAACCCAACAGACTGCATCAGGGTCTACGGTCGCCTATCGGATAGCTTTCCGACCACAAGTGGCGTTCGTCAGGGTTATCCGATTTCCCCATTTTTGTTCAATTTCGTCGTTGATTCTATCATAGAGTGTTCCCTTTCGGGATCTCACGATGTAGGCGTTGAAGTGCTGCCTGGTGAAAGGTTGGTTGATGTAGATTATGCGGACGATATCGTGTTGCTTTTCGACGATGTTGCGGCGGCCCAATCAACCCTGAATAGTCTGTCCAGAGTGGTCCCATTATTTGGTATGCACTTCGCACCTTCAAAGTGCAAAGTGTTACTGCGGGACCACCAGCCACTTGATGACCCCTTGACGCTTGCTAACGAGGAACTCGAGGTGGTTGGTCATTTCACTTATTTTGGCAGCGGCGTCAGCAATGATGGGCGCATAGAAACTGACGTCAGCTCACGCGTTGCAAATGCCAGAGCTATCTTCTTGAACCTGCGGCATCTGTGGTGGCAGAAGGGAGTTTCCCTTCGTCTGAAAGGCTGTGTGTACAAGGCCACAGTGAGGGCCGTTCTGCTGTATGGTAGTGAGACTTGGCCGCTTCGGTCTGAAGATCTGAGGCACCTTCAAGTCTCTGATCGTCGTTGTCTGCGATGCATTGCTGGTGTCGGATGGCACCAGCGTGTCCGCAACGATGATGTGCGTAGGCGAGTACTAGGTGGTGATAATCATGCTAGCTCCCTAGAACAACAGATAGCACTGAATAAGTTACGTTGGCTCGGGCACGTGCTACGTATGCCTGGTCACCGCTTACCTAGGTGGGCCTTGTTTAGTCTGCCAGGTGTGGGATGGCGCAAGGCTCGAGTTGGACAGAAATTAACTTGGCAACGGAAAATGAAGACACTGACGAGCAAACTGGGTGTCGTTGGTCCATCTCGCCTTCCGGGCTGGAGTCCAGGTGACTCGCCTTGTGCTTGGCTCGAGACTTTACAGGACATGACTCGCAGTAGACACCAGTGGCGCGTCTGCTGCCGTCTCCTAATCGGATTATCTGTTTAAAGTGTGTTTGATGCTGAGTTATCTGCGGGGTAATGGCTGATTATGACGCGTGGCAGTGAAAACCGCAAGGAAGCTGTCTCGCCGATGCCGCCTTATTTTTGCACGATAGCCAGCTGTTTGTGGCGGTATGTTGTGTACACAAGGTGTTAGCGCCTTGACCTTGAATGTTTGCTTAGGGCATTAAGGTTTTCAAGTAAGTCCCTCTTCTCTCCCTCTTCCTATTCTTTATTTCATAGGTCGTCATGGTTGTATGGCAGCGAAGCATCAGTTCAAATGGCTGATGTACTGCTGTTGATGATGATGATGGAGCTCTAAACATAAAACTGCTAATTCTGAGTTAGACTCCCTCCGGCGATTCACTAATCACTCTGCTGAATTTGCTACTTATGTGTTTCTATATGGAAGCCACTGACTTCACCAACTCTGCCTACGAAGTGTTCACTGTGTTCTGAGTGTAACA